AGCATCCAAAGGAAGGGATGGATCATTTATCATTTGGGAAATCTTCTGTTAAAATTTGTTCTCGGGGCACTCGGGTGGCTCAGTCCGCTGGGCAGCCAACTTTGGCTCAGGTCATCATCTCACAGTTCGTGGGTTCGAGCCCCATGTTGACAGCTCAGAGCCTGGATGCCCCTTCGGATTCTGTGTCTCCCTCTCTCTCTGCCCCATCCCTGCTCATGCTTTGTCTGTCTCTCACTCTCAAAAATAAATGTTAAAAAATTTTCTAAGTAAAAAATTTAAAGAAAATTGTTCTCATTCTCAGACTATTAGTAGGATTTGGACAGTCTAAATCTCAAGGATATATTCTTAAGAACAGAGTTGAAGAATTCTAGGCAGCCATTTCAGAATAAAATCAGACATAGTCCACTGAGCAGAGATGAAGGTTGACACGGCCCTGAAGAGAAACCTAGGAAGACTGCAACAAGGATGTGGCCTAGGTTTCTTTGAACAAGAGGAAATAAATGACTTCCCAAACATACAGGTCATTTAACAGTTTTTCAGACTACGATCCACAGAAAGTTTACAGCAACATGGATAAATCTCACATACTGCTGAGCAAAAGAAGCCAGAACCCAAATCAGTATATACTACAGGTTACCATTTAAATCAAGGTGAGAAGAGCAGGAGGAAAGAAATTTCAGAAGTGATGGCAATGGTGGCTTTTTTGTTTGTGGGATGGTCACACCGGTGGATGCTCAAAACTTGAACTATATGCTTATGATCTTTACATTTTAGTTTCACATTCCTTAAAAGAATGAAAGGGGCCTGAAATGAGTGTTGTGGGGGACAGATCAGAATTGAGAAAGATAATTGTGAACAAATCTCTTCACTGCACAGTCCCTCACTGCACATATTAGGTTTACAGTACACTGCAGATATCTAAGAGGAGGCAATAGGATGCATCCTACTCCCAATTTACTTGCTCAACAATTTCCCTCACACATCTACTAATATCTGTAAGGCACTCATGTTTCAGAAGCCACTCACTTTTGACTGTAGAAAAATTCAAGGTTGCAAACACCACTGCAACCATTAAAAAAAAAAAGTCAACATCTGATTTAGGCAATCATCTTTTGGTGAACCCTCCCAGAATAAACAGAACATTGCAAAACATATCCTGAAAGAAGGCCCAATTAGGAACTCAAGTAATTGTGCCCCAAGGAAGTTTCTTTTGGGGGTTATTGGCCTTAAATTCCTTGTGGAAGTATATAGTAAAGCCAGTTGTCCAATAAAGAACTTCTAGATTATGAGAATAATGTATTTTTATAAAGTTTAATTTCTGAGAGACAGCACAAGGGGGGGAAGTGGCAGAGACAGGGAGACACAGAATCTGAAGCAGCTCCAGGCTCTGAGCTGTCAGCACAGAGCCCAACGTGGGGCTGAACTCACAAACCGTGAGATCATGACTTCAGCCAAAGTCGGAGGCTTAACTGAGCCTCCCAGGTGCCCGGAGAATAGTATATTCATCAATATACTTTTTTTTTTTCTATTTTCTCTAAGATATTAAGCTCATCCAGAGTGAGCATTAAAAACACAGGTTTAAAAATATAGGCCTTTCTTCCCCCACCCCCACCCATGATGGGCATAGAGGACGGCACTTACTGGGATGAGCACTGGGTGTTGTAAGTAAGCGAATTTGACAATAAATTATATTAAAAATAATGAAATGGGACGATTAAAAAAAATAAATAAGTATTAGAAAAAATTATGGGCCGTAGGGGGGTGCCTAGGTGGCTCAGTCAGTTAAGTGGCCAATTTGGGCCGAGGTCTGGTCTCGAGGTTCATGAGTTCCAGCCCCATGTCGGGCTCTGTGCTGACGGTGCAGAGCCTGGAGCCTGCATTGGATTCTGTGTCTCCCTCTCTCTCTCTGCCCTTCCCCTGCTCACTACTCTGTCTCTCTCAAAAATAAATAAACGTTAAAATTTTTTTTTCATTTTTTAAATATAAGCTTTAGGTTCCCTAGGAAGCCACACTTGTGTGCAAGAGACACACTTGTGTGCAAGAGAAGGAATGCCTAGAGCTCCAGATCCGTATCTGCAGGGCAGCGAGGGAGGCAGGACAAGGGAGAGGGAGGAGATTAACTATGGTGAAGTCCCAACAGAGGCCTCAGCAGATGCCACGGAGGCTCTGGTATACCAGGATGGTCCCTCAGCATCATCCAGTCCCGAGGCAAGGGAGCCAGACTTTTGTATCCTCACAGCAGACTCCAGGGGAGAGGCAGGACTATGGCCAAAATGGCCTCTTTGGTGGAGGTTAATTTTCACAATGAGAATCCACTGAGAGCCATCAGTTATCAACACTTCCAGCAACAGGGAAAACGAGTACCTCTGAAGGAGAAGCCGGGCTGCACATCAGTGTTCCCCATAGCAGCCAAACTACAACCCTCTTCCCAACTCAACAGTGTCTGACCTTTAAGAAACCATTCCTACCAAATCTCACCCCCACCCTATTAATACACAAGCTCTGCTTAAGCACAGTAGCCAAGGCTCTGAGTTTTGCACAAGTATTCATACAGTTGTGAATAACCCCAAAGGCTACTGACAATTATTTTTGCAATATAAATCGTACACCAAGAAATTCATGGACTGGCTTTGCCATGATTGCAAACCTATTCATGAAGACATGAAGCCTGAGATCAGATTTCTCTAAGAAAAACACAGTAATCCATAAAACAAAATGCATCATCAGCAAGCTTTAATTTTATAACAAAGTATTTTTCAATCACACTTCTCTTAAGATTAAATTAGTAGCTCATTGGGCAAAGTAATGAAAAAGGAACTAGAGATTCTTTGTTTCCCCCTGACTCTGCTTTTTAATACAGGCTGCCAATTCATTTATTCTTTCAAAATTCAGCGGGAGATACCATGCTTAGCCTTGAAGATAGGTAAGAAGTTCACGATTTAAGAAAGACAGACATGTGAACAGGTATTTATCAGTCACACGTTTCTTTCAACAAACAAATCTAAGCACCATGTGTACAGCCATCAACAAGACAAACCTAGTCTTTGCCTACATGCAGTGTGAGCCCTGATAAAATAGAAAGCTGAAGGAGCCTGCATATGGGAGAAGGAGAGCCATGGAAAGCTTGATAACCGTAAGCCAACAACTAGCCTTTACAGAGCTCTTAAGTTTACACGTGTCTGGTGATTTTTTGTTTGTTTAGAGAGAGCAAGAGTGCAACGCACAAGCATGCGTACGTACACATTTAGGGGAAGGGGCAGAGAGAGGGAGAGAGAATCCCAAGCAGGCTCCTTACCATCAGCACAGAGCCAATGCAGCGTCAAACTCATGAACTGAGAGGTCACGACATGAGCCAAAATCAGGAATCGGATGCTCAACGGACTGAGCCACCCAGGTACCCCATGCCTGGTACATTTTAACTCTGACATCAATTATCTAAGGTAGATACGATTTTTCCCTATTTACAGATGAGGCAATTCAGGCACAAAGATGAAGCAGCTTCTCAAGGTCACACAGGTAGTGAGTGTCAAGAGTGGGATTCAGAGGACTTACCTCTGGAACTAAGCCTTGACAATGGAGTAGGAATTTGCCAGACGGATACTAGGAGGGGGGTGGGAAGCATTCCAGACACAGGGAACTGCAAGTAGAGAAGCTTCGAAAGGATCAAACCTGCAAGTTCACTTGCACTCAGGCTGCCTATAGAAGAAAACAGGAATCCAGGCCTGGGAAGTGGGAACGGTGGGGGCAGAAGACACCGGAGTTGTGCCTCACAAGGGAGAGACTGAACGAATGGAAGCACAAGTTGATTGGGAGTGAGGTCAATTTTGTTTTAAGAAAGTCAACACTAGTATTAATAGAAGCCACTGACATTAACAACATCCTTTAAGCATGTTGGGTTAATTATTTATATGCATGACCTCCTTTTAGTTTCATTGCCACCTTGAGGGAGGTACTACAATTATCCCATTTTTACAAGGGAGGATACGGAGTCTCAAGGAGGACAGCTGGATTGTCCAGGGCTCTGCTGTTTGAGTCAAGGAGCCGGGATTCAAAACCAAGGAGTCATGACCCAGAGCCCAGGCTCTCCGCTGCCTGCTCTAGGTGCCCGGCATCACCCCCCTCCTTCTCTGAGGAATGCAGAGGGGGAGGAGGGTGGCAGAAAGGGAAAAATCCCACTAAGGAGATGCTCCAGCCCAGCAAGCTTGTAGGGCATGGGCCGGAGGATAGGACATCTGAGTCCACCCAAGTGGCATTGTGGACAAAGTTCTGGCAGTGAGAACAAATGAAGAGTCTTGCTAACAGCCAGCTGTCTGTAGAGATGCTGATTCTGTGACTAAGAGAATGGGTGGAGATAAGCACCAAGAAGTGGGCACGGGGTAGGGAGAAAGGTGCACAGTCAAGGTCTTCTAGGGCACAGACGAAGGGGGTCAGGCAGCTGAATGTCTAAGTCAAGAGCTGAGAGAAACCATCTGCTAAGAAGGTACAGGTTTGTCCCAAGACATGTTGAAGGGACTCAAGTGATGGAATGTGTCCAGAGACAACGTGAAGACAATGGACAGAAACCGAGTAAACTGTGCTATTCAGCAAAGACTCCTGTTTTCTTCTGTAAAAATAAGCAGATAGCGTGTGTATGCATACATACACTTCTGCGTCTGCCATATAGCTGCTTTCTTTAGAAACTACAGAAGGCGCATCTTGTTTGGTTTACAAGGAAGGCAGGAGGCCTTCAAAATTCTCTGAGAAACTAACTCTGTCTTCCACATGTGAGATTTTTAATTACTTCTAGGCGGTACAAGTCTGGACAAAGTAAGTTAGTTGAATGGTGTTATGCTTTTAAGAACTAAAAATGCTACAAACGGTTTGAGTATCGCCCAAGAGGTGCTTGGCCACTCTGAGCCCAAGTCACTGACGTCAGTAGCTGCGCTTCGGGCATAAGCGCTTACGGGCTCTGGACGGAAGCATGGCATGCTTACAGCGCTCCCGGGGTATGCCATTTTCTAGCCTTATTTATGTTAGCTCTTCACCCTAAAAACACCACAGAGCAGCTTACCTGCTTTAGCCATCTGTACAGAAGGCGATTTCTCCCGTTTCTAACAATAGAAAACTTCCCAGTGTTAACATGTAGCAAAAAGGAGAAACGAGAAAAAGAAAAAAAAAAAAAAAAGCCTCTTTGGTCCGCCCTCCCTGGCTGTTGCTACCTTGCAGTTTATGACATGCAGATAGAGGGAGGTCTGGTGAAGTGAACAAGGCAGCCGGAGAGCTGGTCCATTCCCGTGGAAACCACGAATCCCTGGGCACAGGCAGCTCTCCCTACTTTCCTGCGGGATTTCTTTTGTGCGACTTTGAGAGGGGCTCATGAATGATTTCTCAACGTGTGCCTGGCTCAGGCAAGCCGCACAGGGAGGGAGTAACCCAGCTGAGTGGGGGCAGAGCCAGCAAACACAGACCGCGCAGCGCTGGAAGTGGTTCTACTCGTGCATGCAGTTTTTGAAGTCAGCAAAACAGAAATCAAATTACTATCCTATTATGCTGGTCGATGCTCAAGAAGGGACTCTATGCTCGCTTAATTACCATGAGAGATGCGGCAAGTCACAGAACAGCAAAGTATGTCTAACGTGGGGACCCTGAAGACAAATGTAAGTTCTCATGCTGCTGTATTTTACTGCCGTGCAATTTTCTTTCTGGCTTGAAATCATGCTTGGCCAAAATGTTACCATTTCCATGAGAATTGCTAGCGTGGAAAGTTGTCTGATCTTTGCTTAAGACTTTTTTTTTCCTTCTTTTATTAACTAAGAATAATGCAAATGGAAATTCCCGACAGCAGCTGGGAAATTCCCGACATTCAGCCTCAGACTTAGAACTATAAACCCAACTAGATTCAATTACTATGGGATTAACACGGGATGTATTTTTAATGGATTTTCTTAATGTAGAATGCCTCCCGCCCCACTGTTTTGGACTGCATGCTATTTTAATACTGCTGTGGCTAAACTAGTGTGATCAACATAACCAACAGAATGAGATAGAGCTCAGGGAGATTCCTGGTAATCACCAAACTTTTCTTTTCTGGCCAGGATCACCTTGTTTCTTCCTGAATCCTCAAAACTCTGCAACCTCTGTTAAAAAGTTCATTCTGCTTTTTTGACCTTGCTTTGAAGGAAAAAAAAAAAATGCAACCAACAAGACTCCCCTAACATTGTAAAGGAAAGAAACAGAAGAAGCCACTGCAGTTCCTCAACAACCATTGTGATCATGAGGGAAAAAAGGCAACCCAGGGAGCCCAGCATGTACACCAGCTTCCGTGTGACAGAGCGTGAGGACAGAAAGATGAATGGCGGGCTGAGGCTCTGACTTGTTAGTTTTCCTTTACTTCAGCTGCTACAAATTCCGGCTTAGCAATGGATGTTCTTTTTGAAGAAAATGCTTCCTTGAGCTCCACTACAAACTCCTTAGTGCAATTACATGAGGACACAAGGCTCTACAATAATGACTTTAACAACGGAGAAGCTAACACTTCAGATGCATTTAACTGGACAGTGGACTCGGAAAATCGAACCAACCTTTCCTGTGAGGGCTGCCTCTCACCACCCTGCTTCTCCTTACTTCATCTCCAGGAAAAAAACTGGTCTGCTTTGTTGACAGCTGTAGTGATTATTCTAACCATTGCTGGAAACATACTCGTCATCATGGCAGTGTCCCTAGAGAAAAAGCTGCAGAACGCCACCAACTATTTCCTGATGTCACTTGCCATAGCTGATATGCTGCTGGGTTTCCTTGTCATGCCCGTGTCCATGTTAACCATCCTATATGGTGAGTGGCGTTAGTTTCCCAGCTATACCCACCCTGGTAATAGCATGTGCATGTGAGGAGCAGATGAGCTGGGGCTCAAGGGACAAACTCAACACCAGGGCTTATTTATAGTCAAGGGTCTACGGTGTCATACTCCTTAAATTTAAAGTGAACTTTCACATATTACACAATCTGACAACCTATTATTGGAGAGTTTGGGGCTTTGGGACACGTACATTTCATCTAGTAATTTTAAATGCCCCCAAAGAAGTCATAAAGCAGTAATCTATCCTTCTGAATCCCCTTGATTTTCACTTCTGTAGATTCCCAAGTATTCCAGCCTCCGGGACAAAGCACAGTGGTATCTTTGTCACAGTTTTCAGCACTTCTACTGGAGTGGTAAAACCTTCCCAGTTGCCTTAGAACATGTGCAGAGACAATCTCAGTGGTGCAGCGGGTGTGATGTTAAAATATGCAGATTCTCCTTTAGAATAAATGAATTACTCCAGTGTCAGTTGTTCCTACCCAGAGAAGCTAATTCGGAAGTGTTCCTCTGAATTATGCCCTCCGCTCTTTAAAAACACAGCCACACCAACTCCTCCCGTCTGGTTTGGAGGGTAGAAAACAAACGGGAAGACATTAATCCTGCTGTCTCCAACAGTTTCAAAGAGTCAGACCTCTTAGCAAGTCAGCAAACACTGGGACGGCTTCAGCAGAAAGCAGAATGTGAGGTTTTCAAGTCAGGAGTAATACATCCGGGTTTCTTTTTAAAACAATATTTAGACTGACATAGGCACACAGTCACTCAGAGCTGGAAATACATTATGGTCAGTGTAAGAGGGGATTTTTCTGGCCAGGTCTTAGGGGCTATATATGTACCACCCCAGCGCCGAGTCTGGAAGAGGAGGGAGATGGGCAACGCAGAGCAGGCGCCGGTTTGCACAGGGTCGATAATGCTTCCTTGCAAGGCCAGCCTCCGTTTGGCCACTCAAATGTCACACCGGGATGATTTCATTAAATTCGCCGTCATTTCCCAGACAGGCTGCAAAGGTTCTGGCTTCCTCAAACCCCACCCCCTTAGAAGGCGAACTCCGGGAGTTGCGCACGACTCCCAGAGGTTCTGTCAGGGAACCAAAACCACAGCGCGGGGCGAGGGCGGGGGCGGGTGACCCCCGTGGCAGGTGGGGGGCAGGCACCCGCCAGCTGGGTTAAGAAGCTAGGACCTGGCCAGGGCCTCCCGCTCGGGATCCAACTGCGCCCCCTGGCGGCGACCACTCCGCGTGCAACCTGTTCCAGCAGGAGTTGGACCTCTCCCGGAACCCATCACCGCAGGGTGAGGAAATGCTCCCCTCCCTCCCTATCCTTGCCTGGGAAACCAGACTAGGCCCGCCCCAACTGCCTCCTCCCTGCAGAGCAAACTCCAGAGGCTAACATCAGTTCCGACCAGACGGAGCGGGGCTTCCCTCTAGGCACTGCAAATGAAGACGCTCCTGTTTTAGGTTTTCGTTGTTGGTTTTTTCCCCCTCCAAATAATCAGAGTGAACAGCATTATGTTAGGCTGGTATCCTGCACCCTTTACTTTCCTAAATATAGGTGATGGCATTTTCACAGAGTCTGTTTGCGAATGTAGTTCATTCAGCTTTGTGAGTCTGGAATATCGCAAAGAAAGGCAATCTTTAGGACTTGCCTTTTCACAAGCACACAGATGCAACATCACTGCTTACACAGCTATCAAAACTAATACAGGTTTACCTGTTTGAATCCCTCTCCAACAAAGACAGGGCACTTCAAATATGCCTTATGGACCCTCCTCCCGCAGAGCTCTTCATATTGGAATCATCAGGGACAGATTTGCAACACTTTGTTTGGGGCCCACCTCCACCCACACCCCTAGGCCCCGGGACCCTAGAGAAAAGCTCTCCAAGCTGATTGCAAAGTACGGGGGGGCGGGCTGACAACCACTGCCGGCAGCAGCTGCTGCCCAAATTGCCCAAATGTGATCCTTCCACCAGCAGCACCACCTGGTGACTTGTTAGAAATGACTCTTCTGCCCCACTGCAGATTCACATCATCAGGACCTCCAGGTGGGGTCCGGTAGTACCATTTTAAGACCCCATCAAGGAAATTCTGAGGCTCCCTCAAGTTTGAGAGCCACTTCCCTGAAACAATGGTCAGGGCAAGAACACCATGCTTTTCTGCAGGTTTCCCCTACCCACAGGCACATTCCAAACTGGAGTTAAACATCCCCAAATATTATGTAATTACTTTGTCTTTCCAAATAAAAATATTGTCCATCTGGACCTTTTAATCATTTATTCATTCACACCAATAGCATTGATTGGGAGACCACCAAATGCAATCACCGTGGAAGACTGAGGGGTTCTAGTGATTCGCAGGTGGGTCGAACCTCCGGGAATCTACAACATGTGTAAGAGGTGAACTGAAGGCAGTGCACTACAAGAGGAGCTTCAATAGAGGGGCTCAAAATACATCGAGGCTGCTAGCTCATTAAAGACAATAAAGGTCGGTTCTGTTAGGCAGAGGAGATAGATCAAGAGAAACCCTGAAGACAACCCACGTTAACCACAACACCCTGGCCTAACTGCAGCCACAAGAAATTTCCAAACCTTGTGTTCCTCAGCTAGTATGGGCTTATTGTAAACACAATTTTTTTAAGGCTTTTTAATATATTGAAAATCTGTGGTAATTGCCCTTTGCCAGCACCTGTGCCTTTGCCCGGAATGGAAACCCTTCCGGCACGGTAAGTGCCACCCACCAAGAGGCCCGAGGTCCCTTACTAACACTAACCTTCTGCATCACAGGCTATCGGTGGCCTCTACCTAGCAAACTCTGTGCTGTCTGGATCTACCTGGACGTGCTCTTCTCCACGGCCTCCATCATGCACCTCTGTGCCATCTCGCTGGATCGCTACGTTGCCATCCAGAATCCCATCCATCACAGCCGATTCAACTCCAGAACTAAGGCATTCCTGAAAATAATTGCTGTTTGGACCATATCAGTGGGTAAGTTGGGTACAGGATTTCAGGGTCTCATTTGAAAGGACAGGTCACACCTTCCAGAGGGACTGGTCCTGTTTTGTTGCCCTGAAACCTGACACCCTGAATCTCTGGGTGTTTTTTCGCTGCTGTTGTTGCGAGAGAAGGTATAATGCAGTCATTATCAGGTTTGCTTTAGGAAGCAAAGTCTATTAACGTCACTGGCTGACAATGTCAAGCTTTCACAGTTAAGACCATACATACCTACAGCGCCAAAATTAGACCTAACTGTGCCAAAGCCACTTCCAGATGCTTTTTCCCCATCTCACACTTTCGAACTCAGTTCTCTACAATTCCCCCGGAGACCTCAGCATTTGTCATCACCAGACTGTGGTCAGTTTAAGACTACAGATCCCCACGCTGAACAACACACAGCTTCTGGAGACTGGGGAAAAGTGCTGGATTCTGTAACTCAGAGGCAGAGGACAGAAGACTTGCAGAGGCAGTACTTGCTCAGGGTCAAGACGTTTCTGCCTGCCTCATGCCTCTGTAAACCCTGGTCCTGTTATGCCACCACACCCCAGAAGATCTCAACCCCCTTATATTGATCACACACATTCACCGCTCACCAGGATTGATGTTCTGTCACACACCCAACAAACAGGAAAGCCCGGGTAATGGAAGCCAGAGGGGCAGCTCCCAGGTAACTAAGTCAGTTGCACCTGTCACCTCAGCAGACTTGGTTTATAACCAGATTCCCCCGGGGTTTACTTTAAAGCTGCAGAACTTCACAGGCAATAACACTGCACCTCCTTATGGTCACATGGGTACCAGCATCTACTAACGTGAGAGACTATGGGATTTGATAGCAGGCTTGAGTCTACCCCACAGCGTGTAATAGAAATCCTAGTTCATAGCTAACACGAGGATGGGTTTTTTTGGGGGGTTCCCATTGTTTGCCTTGCTGCTACAGATTCCTCTGCAGAATAGGTAAGTCCATCTTCTGGATGAGGGAAGTAGGGTTCAACAAGTGAAAAGACTCCTGCACAGCTAGCCAAAAGGACCCCCACAGCTAGCGCATAGGACCGTGCCCAATTATGATGGAAATGCTAACAATCTGCATGATTTTTTAAGTTGTGTAGAGCCTTCTATTCTCCATTTTAAAGTTTCTATTGCAGTTTGAACTAGACAGATCTCATTAAGCTTATTTGATCAGTTAGGGAGCCAGAGCAATGAAAGGTCTCGTGGGCTTGCCAGATCAGCTCTCCAGCTAATGGCGGGACTGGGACTCCCACCCTTCCTGCACCAAGCCCTGCACTTACTGCTGAATGACCACCTTCTTTATAAAACCATATTTGCTTTACCAAAGTTTGTGGTTTCTGCATCTATGCAATCTTAGACTCGTTCTCTTTCAAGAGAAAGACTAGGGACTCTCAATCCCAGCTGCACCCCTGGGGAGCATTGTGATTTAATTCTTCTATGGGAGGGTGATTCTAAGAGTACAACTAGGGTTGAGGAGGACTGAAACAAATAGCAAGAGGTAATTAGCAAAAGTAGGCAGTAATTCAAATGAAGTAAACCATGCTATAGTCAAGTTTTACCCTTGTACACTGTCCCACTGGTGAGACAGACACTAGGAGCACTACCCATCTTTTACCTTCTGCTGTACTAACAGCCCTTGCCCCATCTTAGTCAAGCTCAATAGCACTAGAAGTAAGGGCTGTTTCTGAGCAAAGACTACCAACCCGGCAATGTTTAAAGCACCCTACAGGAAATCAAGTGCAGAGAGGTTGCACAGGACGACATCACTCCATTCAGCCATCACTCCAGGAGGAAGGCAGGCTGCAGAGGTTGTGGGAGTGCTAGTAGGGGTCATCATCAATGAAGCCATGCTTCCAGCATAGCTACTATGTGCTTAGCACTGAATGGACCAAGTTATGTATTTGAAGACCTCCAACAAGGTGGTGGGGGAAGGCAGGTAAGAAGACAAAAATGGAGTTTACCTAGGCTCTATATCGCAGGTCTGAGATGTAAGGCTGAGTAGAGGACAGTTGGGGGAAAAAATTCTTAAGAACCCAAAGGAGCTTAGCCTAACTATTGTGAATTTTCTTGTGTTTCCATTTCTATTTTACATTTAGATACTTAGTTGAGATGGAATTTTGTGTATACAAAATAACGGGTTCTTTGACTAACTTCACTTAGCATCATACCCTCCAGTTCCATCCACGTAGTTGCAAATGGCAAGATTTCATTTCTTTTTGATTGCCAAGAAATACTCCATTGTACATATATACCACATCTTCTTTATCCATTCATCCATCGATGGACATTTGGGCTCTTTCCATACTTTGGCTATTATGATATTGCTGCTATAAACATGGGGGTGCATGTGTCCTTCGAAACAGCACACCTGTATCCCTTGGATAAATGCCTCGTAGCACAATTACTGGGTCCTAGGGTTCTTGTACCAATGAACATAGCCTTTTCAGCATCTATTGATAGATCAATAAACTGAAGGGGAAAAACTGGTATCTTGTTTTCTTCCTAGATTTGAATTTGAACTGCCCTTGCATTCCTGCAATACGTTCCTAAATGAAATTGTTTTTGGAGGACCTTGTTAGTTTTTCTTAGAAAGATTCTTTTTCTAGCTACAGTAAGTAAATTTGGGGCATTACTCCCCCCTTCCACCATGGTCTTTATTTAAGTAGGAACATTCTTTAAAAGCTAATATAGAATTTAATTCCAAATCTCTCTTCCTGCTACCTTTTCAAGGTTTATTTATTTTTGGGACAGAGAGAGACAGAGCATAAACAGGGGAGGGGCAGAGAGAGAGGGAGACACAGAATCAGAAACAGGCTCCAGGCTCTGAGCCATCAGCCCAGAGCCCGACGCGGGGCTCGAACTCACGGACCGCAAGATCGTGACCTGGCTGAAGTCGGGCGCTTAACCGACTGCGCCACCCAGGCACCCCTCCTGCTACCTTTTCAAATGTCACCTTTAATCGCAACCCTAACCTTTCTTCAGTGGTTATTTACATTTTCTACCTTGCCTTGGGTTAGTAATTACAAAGTTAAAATTTTCTATCATACTGATTATTATTAAATGCAATTCTTGCCTTAACATCAAAGTCAACTGATCTTAGCATAGCTATGCCAGTTCGCTTTTGGTTATCATACTCTGGATCTATCTTATTCCATCTTACTACTGTTACTTTTTTGATTTAATAAAGTATATTGCTTTTAAGCAGCAGATAGTTTTCTTTGTAATCCAACCTTTACCTTTTAATTGGAGTATTTACTCCATTTATATTTCATGTAACCCATATATGCAGTATTTGGGTTTAAATTTACCCAGTTATTTTTCTTTGTATCTTCACATTTATTCTAAAAAAAATTTTTTATTAGTTTTCTTTATTTTTGAGAGGCAGAGACAGACAGAGCATGTGTGGGGGAAGGGCAGAGAGAGAGGGAGACAGAATCGGAAGCAGGCTCCAGGCTCCGAGCTGTCAGCACAGAGCCTGATGCAGGGACCGAATTCACGAACCATGAGATTATGACCTGGGCCAAAGTTGGACGCTCAACCGACTGAGCCACCCAGGCACCCTATCACATTTATTCTATATTCTGGTTTCTATCCTTGCTTCAGTGGCCTCATCAAGAATTATTCATTCATTATTCCCTTTATAAGCTTGTTATTTCTTTTAAATCCTTTTAGTGATTTAATTTTTTTTTTTTTTTTTTTTTTTTACCTAATAGAATACAACACAAATTACCTTAGTATTTGTTGGATAGTGGAAAACCTTTGGAATAATTTAACCCATGTACCCCTAGATTTCCTATTATTTTTTCCTATTTCCTAATTTTAAGAATCCTTTTAAAACCCCTGGGACTTAAGTGTTCTTCTCCCTACTTCCCATATACTAACCATTTCTGTTGCTGTTCATTACTTTGGTCATTTCCATGATTCTGCTGGCCCTCATATTCCTTACTTCTGAGCAATTTCTTTTAGCCTAAGGATGTAGTTTTCTTTCAGCTTATTATTCTCAACACCTTTATTTTGCTGTCTTTTTTTAAGCAGGATTTTTGCCCAGTCAATATTTCCAAGTTTCTAGCTTTCCAGCAACTTAGAAGTGGCGTTCTCAAATTCTAGTTTTTAGGATTTTGTTTGATTGTGAGAACTCAGCTGACTTAGCGGTGTTCCTTAGAAACCACCATATCTCTTGCTACCCTTTGCTGCTTTGGGATTTTTTCTTTGTATCTTAGCAATTTTACTATGATGGGCGTACATGAGGTTTAGCTTTGGTTTTGTCCTGCATGGTCCTTCTTTCTATTATTGTATTTGTTACTCAATGTCTTTTGTTAATTTAGCAACACTACTGGCCATTGTCTTTTCAAGTACTGCTTCTGCCACATTCTCTCCCCCCAACACATTTCTTGGACTCCAGTTTCATGGATGGTGGAACTTTCATGGTTAGGACTCAGCTTTTCTACTTTTCATCTTTAAGTCTTTAGTCTGGGCAGTTTTACTGCATTTTCTTCTGGATTATTAATCCTCTCTCCAGCTACTTCTAATTTGCTGTTCAACCTACGTATTATAGCCTTAATAGTTCACTGTGTTTTCAGTTTTGATATTTCCATCGAATTCCTTTTGTATGTATTTAGTTCTCTGGAATAATTCTCCATGTTTTTAACAGTTTTCTTAAATACTGAATCACAGGTGTCTATATAGCTGAGTTACCTGGGGATTTCTATTTTCTGGGATCTTTTTTCCCTTTGGCTCTTAGTATGCCTGGTTTTTTTTTTTTTTTTAATACTGGACACTGAGAAAAATTGTGAATATTCTCTCTTGATAGGGGTTCTTTAGCTTCAGCAGGCAGTTACAATAATCCCCTTAATCCAATCAGGGATTGAGTTTATTTTAGTCTGACTTCATAAGCACTTATTTTTAGTTTACCCTTATACCTAAGGGTATAGTCCTTCATGACTTCAAATGAAAGCCTCAAGCGTTTTCCATTTTGCGCAACTCTG